GCAACAAGGTGTAACTAATTGTTTTCCTAAAACTGCTTTGATAAGTTCTGCAGTTTTAGGCCTATTATTTGCATTCCATAACTTAGTACATTTAGCTATTGCAGGATGATGAATTTTAAAAATGCTAGGAGAATCCTTAAGAGCTCTCTAGACATCTGTTGTGGCAATTAGATTTATCGTATGGCACAAACAACGAATGTGTTTAGGCAATGTTATTGAGGTTTCTTTAGACCCTTAAATAAACAAATAAATTTACAATATCATAATAAATTTTAAAGAAGTATTAAATAATACTTTCAATGATTTCGAATTGTATACATTCATCATCATTGATGTCAAAGTCATTCTCTACAGCTTCCATAGAATATCCAAACTCCTTGAAAGCTTTCTTAAAGTTAGAGCCGTTATCTGTAACAGTTGCTATAACTTTTTCGTCAATACCAAAGTCACGATGAATTTCTTTATTCTGATCATCTTGAAGTACTTCAAAAAATTTGCCATTAAGTATGCTTAGTTTAAATTTATTGTTATAATTTTCGGTTTAATAATCATCTGAAGACGAAGATAAACATATTTTCTATTTTCTTCTTCCGTAATTTTAAAATAGACAGATATAAAACGATTCAAATATGGTAGTTCTAATTGTTAGCAAATTGCTATTTGACGACCAACGTCATATATCAAAAATAATCTTAAAATATCTAAATTTTGATTAAATTTTTCTTTTAAATCTTAAAACAATATCATTTTAAATTTTAATACTATTTAAATTAACCAATATAAATTTTTTTTAAAAGTATCTGTATCTTTTTGAATACAAAGTTGGTTAAGATACAAATAATTTTAAATAATATGTATCTTAGATACTAGATACTTTCCAAAATTTTAAAAAAGATACAACTTGTATCTTAGATACAAATATCCGCGATACTGCCCAACCCTGAGTGTCCTAATAAAATCATATCTGTATGGGCTGCCTGCTCACATATCGCCCCAGGATATCATTCTTGATTATATTCAATTGATTTTTTAATTTTAGTCACAACACTATTCATATTTTTATTAAAAATTATATATTATAAAAAAAATTAATATAACGCCATCTATATTGGATTTTTTTATTTATAAAAATTCAAATAAAATTGAAAAAACAAAAATGGTTATCGAGATTTTTTATTAAATCGTTTAATATAAAGGTAATAAACATTTTTAGTAAATATCAACACCCAAAAAAAATCCCTTCCTAATAATGTTAATTTTTTATTTTTACCGGAAATAAGAAAACACTTGAAATTTTTTAATTTTTTTTTTATATTTTCCAACGTAAAATTTTAAGGGCTATAAAATGATATATACTTTGTAACTCTATCTCAAGTATTTTTTAAAATAACAAGATTTAATGAAATCACGCACTTCGTGATTTTCAACTTTGAAGGCGTATATCTTTGGATCTGGTTAATATAGCAACTCTAAAATTTTAATTTTATTAACATTTACAACATAAATAACTAACATGCCAAGTTTCATTCATTTTTGAGATGGTCGGCCGAATCGCTGATCAATTTGTCATGGAATTACCCATATATTTATTCATTGAATTTCAATATTAAACCAATATAATATCAAATTTGTAATGGATAGTTAAAATCAAGACTACTTCTTTTTAAATATTGACTCCCAAGCACTAAATAATGGCAACCCTAAGCCAATATTTGTTTCTTAAGATTGGATCAATTTTTAAAGATATTTTTTCTAATTTGATATTAGATATGGACCCTCCTTCTTAATAATATTAAGCTAAATATTTATGGGTGCTTCAGATGTTTCGATTTTAATATCGAATATTTCATTTTTTGAATAATATTAGCGAACATCAATTTCTGATTATTCGAATAAATTATTCGTATCGAATGGTAATCATTATTCAATTGGTTAGTATAAATATTAATTTGAACGAATAATTTTACTTTTTCAAAATTTCATCTTAGATTTAATGTAGTTGTTTATTTTAAAGATATAAATTATAATTGATTAAGATGTATATATTTTATAAAAATATGTTATTTATAAAAATATGTTATAAAATAAATTTCATCCAACTATAACATATTAATTGCACATATATTAAGTTTATGCATAACATTTAAAGCCAGTTTTTAAGACATGTATAATAAGATAACGCTTTTCGTAGGATTTTATCCGTCATCATATAGCAAGTGGAGTGATGATTATTATTTAAAAAATTTGATAAATTTTACATACAATTACTTAAATATAATTTTAATTCAATTTTATTTTTAATAGGATTACTTATATGTAAAATTTATAAAATTTTGTAATAATCATCACCTTGCTCTTAAATATTTAAACATAATTTATATTAGAGATCTGCAAAGTTAGGCAAGGCCTGTAACCGCCCCGAGTCCGTCGGGCATAATTCTATTTAAAATAATCGGGATCGGGCTGGGCCTAATATTTTTAAAAAAAATTCGGGCCGGGTCGGACCTTGAATATATCTAAATTTATCAATTTTATATTGAATTTTTTATGTAAAATAAAAATTTTTGATTTAATTTATTGAAACTAAACGCTATATAACATATGTCTTTTATAATTTCTAGATTTAAATAAATTCGGGACTGGCCGGTAAATTTTTTTAAAATAAATTTCGGGTTCGGGCCGGGGCGGCTAAACTCTTTAAAAAAATTTCGGGTTCGGGCCGTGCCGTCAAAACTTTTTTAAAAAAATTTCGGGCCGGGCCGGGCTTGAAAAATAGGCCCGATGCAGATAACTAATTTATATAATCTTAATTTAAATAATGAGCAATTAGATTGTTAAAAAATTGTGATAAATTTTACATAGAATTACTAATATATAAATTTCAATTCAATTTATATCTTTATTATGAGCAATTAATAAAAAATTGATAAATTTTACATACAATACAATTACTTAAAGAATACTATAAAATTATAAATTACCTTCACAATAAAAAATTCAATATGAAAAGTAAAAAATTAAAAAAGGAGGTTAATATAACACGTGATTAAATAAGATAATAGGATAGGACCAAAAATATGAAGCAAAATTATATCTACTTTGCACTTAAAATATGGAAAAAAAATAATAATCACAATTTCGGAAATTTTAAAAATAAGATATTAAGCTATAAACTAAAAATTTTATAAAAATAAACAAAAAATATCCGAATAATATTAGTGAATATTAAAATGGAATTATTAGACAAAGAATAATAACGATAATAACAAACAAATCATTAGATAAGTTAAATATTAATATAAAATATCGAGTATCAAATATTAGTCACTACTTCCGAGCCCTAAATCATGAGTTTTATTAGGGAAACTCCGCTTATATGAAATTGATTAGATAGTAAATTAGTCTAGGAAAATAAACATTGATAGGGGTTTGAATCCAATGATAAGACAAAATGTCCAGAGAATTAAATATAATATATTTTTCATGTTTTGGGACATTTATTTATATTTCCCTAAAAAAAATTGAGATAGGCCTGGGTTGTAATTATCTACTTTAAGGCCTAGACTGGGCCATATATTTTAAAATCAGCTTTCGAGTATGGGGACCTACCCAAGCAGACCTTGGTAAGTATAGATCTCTGGTATATATATAATATACTTATTCATATCATGAGTCCACAGGCCCAGCCCGACCAGGACCATGGTAACATCATCAATGAAATATGGGCTCTGCCCATCGACTGAAAACTATTAATGTTTTATTTCCTTTTATTCTTCCATTTTTCTAATTGATTATCACAATTATAAATTGAAATATAAAGAATAAGAAAAGTTTTCAAAAAAATGAGTAGTTGTGAAATAATTACTATTCATATCCATATATTTTGAAATAAATAGAATAAATATATATAAACATCATTAAATTAGCAAAGTTATTAATAAATATTTAAATTTAACGCATATTAAATAGAGAATATAATATTTTAAAATTCGGACTGCAGGCCAGATAAAATATTTGTCATCAGGCCGAGAGGGGGCTTGGGCCAACAAAATCGATTCTGTAGGTCTTTAAAAAATTTAATCCTGGTCCATATTGAGCTTTAGAAAATCTTTATAATTCAAAGAGACTTTAACGGGTAACTCGAACCTAAGATAACGTAAATCATAACCACTTAGCCAATTCAGCCATCTACAAATGATTATTTACGGTAGGATTTAGTAAATCTAAACTTTGCGCTTTTTTTTTAAATTTGAAAGGACTGATTTTACGGTAGTATTCTAGCATATAGCCGTGCTGTGAATTTTTAAACTACTATTAATTTATATGAATTTTTTTATTATATTAAATTTCCTATAAATGTAAAAAAATATATAAATTTTGGCGAAGTTGTCCGAAAATCATAGTGTATGTATTTTATACATTCCTTTAAAATCAAGTCTTTCGAAATTAAAAAAGGCATGATATGAATAATTTAAATCTAAAAATAAATCCGAGTCAATAAAATATAGCCATAGATTTGCTAAAATACCAATATGATAATCTTCAATTTCTAAAATATAGATAGGTCTATCATTGAAGCAAGGGGAAGAGGGAAATCCCCCTTGATAATTTTTTTGAATAAAAATGGATATTACTCTACCCCTACCATTTCTCATCCACAAATGAATAAAATAAATTATCATAATAACGCTAATAATTTTTTAAAATAATGATTAGAAATTTAAAATTTTCCAGGAAAAGGTAATTAAAAACAAACTATATAATGTAAAATAAATATTAAATAAAGATAAATGTAACCCGAAAAATGTTGGAACAAAATGAATCAAGGGGCAGGGGAATGAGGGCGAAGTCCCCTTAGGCGTCGCCTATGATTTGTTTATTTTTGTGTTAGTAGACCGTCAATTTAAATATTATAGATGAATAAATTATAAAATTTTGAGAAATTTATGAATAAATCAGTTGTTATAATCAAAATTGGTTAATTAATATAATAAAAATACCGATCGTGGGCTATCTGAGAAGCGTCTATTATATTTATTAATTTCAGCAGTAACTTTTTCTTTTTCGACATTGCTTACATCTGTTTCGTCATTTATTGTGGGAAAACATGGAATTATAAGTGTAATCTGTCATTTAAAAAGTAATTGGTATAAAAATAGTAATAATCAGAAGGTCGTAGGAAGTATCTTGAGCTGGAACTATTTTTTCAAGAACGGCTCTTTCCTGTATATTTTTTTAAAAAATCCGACCAATCAGATCCGAATTTTTTTCTTATAAGATCAGCGTCCTCCAAATCCGTATTTAGAAATAGGTTCAAATCCGATCTGAAAACAGAAATGAAAATATTGGGTTTAGGTAAAGGTATGATTAAAGAAAGGAAATTAAAGTGATAGAAGAAAGCATAAATTTTTACCGTTTTCCTATAAAAAATTTTTTATAAAGGTATTAGGATAACAATAAATTTAAAATTTTGTCGAAGTTTGAATCCGGCTTGAATCCTATAAATTTTGTCCAAATGTAGATTTTGGTTAGATCGTACAGATCTTTGTGCTCTAATAAGTTTTTTAATTTATAATGCAATTTATTATGATCTAATAATAGACTAAAAATTTTAACGAATCAATTATATTGAAAATGGATCGAATCAGATCGGGCGGATATTTTTTTTAAAACCCGATTTAATATTTTTATTGTTTTTTGTTATTTTATATCAAAAATTTAAATTATTTGTAAGTTTAAAAAAATCGAATTATTTTAAAAGATAAAAATAGCTAAAAATTTGGTTTTTATTATATATTATTTGCAACAAGAAACGGGTTTAAATATATTAACGAGTATAGTTAGGTAATTACTAGATTTTTGGCCGTTTAAGCCTTTTATTAGCCGGCTAAAAAATTAGCTAACCCGAGATTTTAGCCGAATAGCCTCGGGATTTTTCTTTAAAATATAGCAGCTCAATTTTGAAAAAAAATACAAGTATAAATTTAAAAGCCTTAATGTTAAAGGACTTTCTCCGGTTGCGCCTGTAGATTGAGCCGATATTTAGCCATTACCCAACTATACTAAAGGGTCACATTCAGTTAGCGTTGCTAAGCTATTCGATTTACTCAATAAGCAAAATAAAATTAGCCAAGTGTGGAGATTTTGCTCAGATGAAAGTTGTATATCTATTGGCAAAATTTCGAGGCTTAGGCAATATTATTTTGGCTCTTAATTTAGCTGTTATAAAAAATCGACAAAATAGAGCCATTTAGCACCACTACATTCAGCTAAACATTACCCCTATTTTAAATAAGATGATTAACTTTTGGAGAATTAAATAAACAAGATAAACGTAATCATTCGTTAAAATCAGTTGGTTTTTTTATTAGTAAATAGTGATTTTTTTTATGTTATTGGTTTAAAGATAAATGCTAAATAGAAATCAATATAAATATCGGATTGGTTTTTAGCAATATGGGAAAGATCGGATCGAATCGGTGAAAAATTTGTGGATAGCATAGCCTATATTTTAATGTAAATCTAATGGACTTACATTTTTTGCAAATAAAAACTATATGTAATGATATATCAGCAATACATTTAATTTTTTGCCGATATCATGGGACCATATTATTTAACCACCATAAAAGTTAGCTGAATAACCTTATGATTTATTTACAAAATATTTAAATATTTTTTAGTTTACTAAACAATTAACAAAATAGTTTTAGAAAGCTGTCCCTTCGCCTACTTCCCTATTCTATGAAATTATTTTTATTATATTTTCCACTCTGAGGCCATTCTAAAAAAAGAGAACTTAACCACAATTCGAAAAGAAGACAAAATCTCAAATTCAAAATTAATTTGATCCTAATTTAATATAGTATTTATTTGTATAAAAGTAGATGAATTTAAATAAAACATGGTAACATTTTATATTAGTAAATTTTTAATATGGCACCAAGTATCAGGTAGTATCGATATCGGCAAAAAAAAGTGTTATAGCTTGTATCTTTCATAATAAAAATGATCAAAATTAAAAAGATAATTATTAGGGATGTACCGATAATTTTCATCGAATCGGGCCGATATAAAATTTTCCGATACAATAAAATGGCGTCATAATTTTAAAAAAATATATTTCAAATTTCATATTTGTTTATTACTTATTTTGTAAATAGATCAATTTGTATTAATAAGTGATTTATCAAAAAAAAATTTACATACCTTTTTAGATTCATGAATATAAACTAAACTGACCATTATAATATATTTTAATGACTTATGTTATGGTAGTTAAATTATAGATGTAATATTATTAGAAATGGTATATGAGATGAGTAGATGGTAGTGATGAAAATCACTCCATTTGAACCGAAACCGTTTTTAAAAATCAGTAAAATATAAGTTTCAGAAAAAATAATGCCTAAGTTTCGAGATTTCGCTAATAGATGTTCAAACCTTTGTGTCATCTATGAGCAAAATCTTCAGCTCGCTTAATATTTTCATGAATCTATTGATCTATTTACATAATAAGTAATATTTGAAAATTAAAACGATTAGTATGTTTACAAAATACCAAATCAGATGATATCGGATCGATAATCGACGATATCAATTTAATATCGGATCGACCTCCAAAAAATGGTATCGGTACACCCCTAGTTATTATTTTCTGATAGTTTTAAAAAAATTTTTATTTATATTAGATGGGAAATTTGAATTTCCCAACCTACGGAATGAGGAAATTTAAATTTGATATTAATTACTGTTTGTCTGCATACTGGACATGACATAGCTGATAAACCCCATCGACCATGTAGCCAGTAAAGCGTCAAACATTTTCCTGCATTAGATTATATAAATGATTTTGTTTAATTCATAAATTTATAATAACAATTAGGCCTTGGAAAGAATATTCAATTCGTTTTTAGAATACGATTACAAATAATGATGTATATACATATTTTAAAAAAATTCTAATAACTTCATATATTCCCTTTTTATCAACAAATGAAATTTTATAGTGTAAAATTATAAATTTTCGTAATATTGTCCAACGTAGGTAATTGTAAAAAGGCCAAATTTTTATTATTGAATCGAAACATATACTTTTAGAAACTGTTTTACATTAAACATAATACTTAAATTAACAAAAAGTAAAATACTAAACCATCATAAAAATCTTTTTAATAGAATTTCTTATTTTAACCAATGAAACAACTCCGACAATATTATTTTGAGCGGGAGCCTATTGTATTAATTTTTATATAGATAAAAATATTTATTAACAGGATTATTATTAAATGATTCATTATGTTCGCATATAATAAATAAAGTACTAGCCTTGTAAATAAATACACTGAGTAAAATAACTTACTACACCTGAAATTAAGTAGTCTATACAAAAAACTTACAGAAACGAATAACATAAGTATTTGATGTTAAAATATTGGAATATTAAATTGTTTGATTAGATTTAAATGATAAAAATCTATATATAGAACAAATTTATATTAATTATAATTAGGCCTGTGAGCCGCCTCGCCAATATGCCGCTGCAGGTAATTTTTGACCACGCCGACACCGCCGCTAAAAATGTGTCGGCGCTCAATACACCGCCGCTAAAGTAAAAATTTAGCGGTATGATACATATTTTTATTATTAAATAATAATTATGGTATTTATGAATTATAATCAGTAGATGGAATAAAAGAAGTCAATATATATAAAATATCATTAAAAAAGTGAGAGATTTGCCTTAAGATTCAAAATTAGCGGATTGTGAAGATGTAATCGATATCGAAAATAGGAAATGCTTTGAATAGATATCATTTACATCAGATATTTTAGATTTGGATGATAATGATCCATTTTGTAAAGATCGTTTTGGAGTTGATGATGTATATGAGAAAAAACATAGAACCTTAAAATTAAATGTACCTACACGTTAGCATAGTATTTTAATAATGCTAGAAAGTGTGAATGTCAATAATAAAATTCCTATAAATATTCTATTAAATAGAATGGAGAAACCGGATATCATATTATTTAACTCCAATTAGGACTTAGAACATGAACTTTTAAATTTTCTTAGAACCTTCAAAATAACTGTTGAATTTTTATCTGCCCAAAAAGGATATCTTATAAATTTATCCTTATTATTTTGTAGTGAAATTAAAAGTCATTTAATCTTAAAGGATTATGATAGTCCTCCCATGGCATCTCATAAAATATATTTAATAATTTGATCAAAGATTTCCAATAACCGATTTTCAAATAGTATTTTAATACATAAATTACCCTTTGTTTTATTTTTTACTTAGGTGTCAGGACTCAAGAGAACTTTAGAATTCTCGTTTTCAATCTATAAACATAGTGAATAAATATTTAAAGGAAAAAAATATTTATGCAATTTTTATGTCAACACGCCACCTCTCTTTTGCCTTACGTGCACAACCGATGTGAAACCGGAGAAGTTAACTTCAGAATTCGATTATCTTAAGAAATTTTTGGAAGGGAATTATGTCAGGTCCTAAAGGAAGGGAATGCCAAAAAAATAATTATTAGCTACCAAAAATTCATCAATTTATCATAAGAATGTAACAACAAAACTATTTAACTAGTCTAGAAAAAGAGTGTTATTCATTATTTTTGCCTTATTATTTATAGATAAAAGATGCCTTAGATCTATAGGGAAGATAAGAACATTGGATCTTCCTAAACTTTCTATATTCACTAGAAAAGTCCTCTATGTTCCAGCTACGAGCACACATGCGTGTATTTTCCATAGCTGGGCTCACTCTGAACTCTAAAAAAGATCATCATTATCTATAAATCTAAATAAAATAATATTTATATATGATAATTATAACTATAATTTAATTCGAAATTTGCATAATAAAGCATATATTTTATTTTAAAAGCGTTTCCAATAAATCAATAATTTTTTAATTAAAAAATTTAGGTTAGAAAAATAATTGACTCCGTCGCTAGCCGATAGTTTTAAAAATTGAAACACCAACGCCGAAAAGGATGTCGTCACACAGGTCTAATTATAATTATTAGAGATATTAAAAATTTTTTGGCTTAAACCCGCCACTGTCCAGTAGCAAAACTAGGTTTAGCTCGATGATTTTCAAAAAAAGCTTATAAGGAAGAAATTTCAACACTTATTATATTCATTATTTTAATGGTAGCACCAAATTTAAATATTCAGCAAATACTTTCATAATTTAATTTATTCTATTTAATACAAAATATGATAAATGAATATTATGTCTCATCTTCTGAATTTTTTTAATATCTTTCTTATTTTTTAGGTTCATTCCATAATTAAAATATTCAATCAGGTAAATAAAAAAAGGAAGAATAGGAAGGAAATTTAACATCAATATTTTACAGGCCTATATTTTATTGATGAATTTACCATTTGCCTTGCAGCATTCTATTAATTATATCTCATATCAAATAATTACCACAAAACATATGACCACAATTTGTCTCAACAGGGAAGTTAGAATTGCCTAAACATATAGGGCATTGAGAGTCACTATAATATCTTCTAAAATTTGGAGGTCTTAGGATTCTATCATCAAGTGGTGTTCCATCATCATTAAGAATATTATTTTGATTGAGATGATCATTTGATTCTAATGGTAATATTTCATTATGTTCGTGATCAAGATTTGGTTGTATCACTTCTTGATTTAAACTAGAAAAAAAAATACAATTTATAAATTTGAAAAACATATACCTTTAATATAGGCTGAAATTATAGTTAACCACAAAGCGTGAAAGCGTGTCGCTTACAAAATACATAATGTTAAATCAATATTTTAACATTATGTATTTTGCGGGCATAAAAATTGTATGATTTAAATAATGAGGACCAGGCTTAAGAATTTTTGAAAAATTTGGGGGCTGCGTTGTTAATCTCGTCATTCATTTATCAGCTGTTTTTAACAATATTTATAATTTATTAATCTTATAGCAATCTTGTAAAATTCAATTTCGTATATGTTGAATCAGATCTAATGGTATTCTTTCAGATCAAGACTTCTTTATGGCTTACCCAACACCTTTCAAAAATAATCATAATCTAATGGCATTTCAAGGCATTCGACCTGTGAGTTATCAGCTGACTAAATAATTTTATTTTTTTAACATGTGCTCAGTGCTCATTTTTTCAAAAACTACGTAAAAATCCTTTAACCTTACCTAATAAAATTGTAATTTCTTCAATTAATCATGATAAAGAAATTTTTTTAAACAGATTTTTAGAATGGGAAATGGCTCCAATCACAAAACACCTTTTCAAAGGTTGCAGCAATCACACAATTAATAACTAAATTTCCCAGAGAACAATTATTTTAATGATATCAAACTATGGGATTTTCTAACATTTCCTTTTAAATGTCTTGTCCAAAATATATGACTTTTTGACCACATAAAACATAACTTAAGTAATTTTGAATCCCTCCTTTCTTTTTAAGACACAAAATAATGTTGATCTCCAGCGACATTGCAGCAAGATATCGAAAAAAATCGATAAAAGTAACCTAAGAGGATACTGATGGCAAATTAACACCTGTCAATGAGCAAACATTGAGGCTCATTTATAAATGTTACCCTCCTGCCTCTTACACTTCATTACCATGAATGCCTTCAGCCAACCTATAATTTCTCTAATGACAAAATCATTAAGGCCACCAATTGCTTTAACATTCTCAGCTGCTGGCTTCGACAGTTTTAGACCTTTTCATTTGCAATTTCTCCTGAAATCTAATGCACACCTTAAATATACATTCAACATCTTTAAAAAATTTCTGAACGTATTAAGAGATTTGCCTATACAAATAGCTAATCTAATTGCCCAAAAAAACCTGGTGGAGGAATCAGTCCCATAGCCATAGGCTCTATTATCTTTAAACAGACAAAATAATTATACTTCGTATCAAAATAGAAAGATTTGGGATAAAAGGAAGATATGAAATAGCATCACATGCGATATAAATTTACCCATAAAATCCTTCTCCCAATAGTATTCAATTATTGTCAAATTGGACTTTATAAATGCATTTAATAGCTTGTGTCGTGATCATTTTTTAAAATGTTTTTATCAAATGTTCCCCGATTACTCTAAATTTTTAGATACGTGTTATGGCCTTACAACACCTGTTCTATTCAGCACAAATATTATAGACTCCGTCCTATTTTGCCTTGGCATTAAGGACCTTAACCATGATCTTAAATCTAAATTGCATTTAAATATTTGGTATTAACGATGGAACAATTTGTGGTTCTCTTCCTAAAGTAATCGAAGTTTTAAATTTTTTTGAAGCCAATGCTAAAATCATAGACTTATCCTAAACAAAACGAAGACAGAAATTTATTTTTTAGCTCTATCTAGTTACAAAACAGTTAAACTCAATAATTTAACACTTATGGGCTCGCCTTCATCAAACGTCCCTCCATTTGAAGAATATCCAGTCAAATTATTTGATAATATATTAAATATGGACCTAATCCTAAATACCCTCCCATCACATTATAGCCTCTATTTAATTCGCAAATGCTTATATGGTCCAAATATTACATCTCTTTTGTGTATCTTCTTTTTTTTTACTTAAAGAATTTATCGAACGTTTGGAGTCCTTGTTTAAAACCTTTTTGGGAAAATTTTTCAATCTTAATTTAACTCAAAGGTAAAATGGTTGGAGTCAACCTATTATCCCTTCATACCCATTCAGTATCTTTCCTTTCTTTAAACAGCTCGATCTCCCTTAATAATAGATTACTAAATCTGGCCATTGCAATATGGCAAAGTAATTTTTTAAGATGCAGATTTTTCCGATATGATAAATCATAAAAATATCTTTTTACATTTAATTTCAAAATACTACTACATTTATCTATACCCTCCTCCCTTTGAAGACATCCAAGTCTTTCAAAATAATTATAAATTAGCCGGTCATGTTTGGTTGAAAGCTTTGCCTAGTAAAAACATATGGAAACTCAAAACTAATGAACAACTAAGATTTATTCTAGGTCATAGATTCGGCTACAACAGTCGCATACTTGCCTAAATATATTTACGGCTAATGCTAAGGGAAAACATGGGTTAAATAGTATTAAAAGCTAGGGTGGTAAACAACGTTATTCATCAATAAATAAGCTTCTCAGTCAATTCCTAAAAAAGCTCAAATTTATTTTAGAACCTAGCAACCATTCATCAAATGAAGGTCTCAAAACTATCCCATGGAGTATGGGTAAATCTCTCATCTGGGACATGTTACCTTCCCCACAAAAATAAATTGTAACCTATTGATTCAAGCCGAAACAAATAAGATAAACAAATGCAAATTATTGAATAACCTTATTTTTACTCCAATTGCCCCTTTTACCAGTGTACATTTTGCCTAACACCTTTCTTTCTTCAAAAACTTTGGCCCATAAAATATGGATCCACACATGAGGCCAAAGAAATATTTTCTTAAAAAAAAATACAAATTGAAATATTTAAATATAATTACTGCACTTTTTAAGGACTCAATTATGTTTTTCATAAAAATGTGTACCCCCAATCCCCTTAATATAATTTTGTATTTTATATTGTTTTTTTTATATAATATATATTTATAATTTTAAATTGTTAATAAGTACATTTGAAATATCTGAATAAAGATGCTAAAAAAAAATCTGAGACAAGCTGATTTAAAAAAAAGTAATTTGAATTATATCAATTAATCAGTTAAACATTTACTGCTCATATCTTTAATTTACCCTTAAAAAAATTAGCAAAATATAACCTAAATTATTTAAATTTACAAAATTTAACTAAAAAATTCCCTAAACAAAAAATGAAATACCATTATAAATTTCCAGACACAATTGAACAAATTAATAAAACACCGATATTCTTGCATATTGGGAGGGAAGAAAGTTAAATTAATCAAAACTCTACTATTAACAACAATAGCCATGTCTATCCCAGCAACACAAGTTTTGGTCGAAAGAACATTAGAATCGAAATATATTCCATCACTAATGAGATCAAGATTGGATAGATATTATATTTAAATTTTTTATTTAATTCTATTTCTACATATATGTTATAGGAACTATCTAGGATCATCATGGGCTCTTTGAGAATTAAATTTTTTAAAGGATAAGTACAATACGAGATCATCACGTTTTGACAGATATTTTAATTATATATTATTTAATACAAATTGAATTTTTATTTTTACCCCTCTCCAGACCAAGTCCAGCCCATTAAGACCAAAAGTAAATACTATTATTTCAGTCAAAAAAAAATATTTTAATTAGTCTATTTGATACCCATATCAATATTTTATGTTGATAAAAATATTCCTGAGTTGACAACCAGTTGAGTAGATTTTTTGATTAGCTATCGATTGATACCAATATTGGAAATATTTATTTTCACAAAACGTAAAACATGATACTGCATTATCATTCCTTAAATAAAACCCCAAATTTTTTAGGAATCCCTTTAAAATCTGTGATGATCCTGGACAGTTCTGATCCCTTTAAAAATTATTACGATATATATATATATATATCTTTTATGACAACTAAAAATAATAATACTTTACAAGGTTGATAACATTATTGAGATATTTGAAATCAGTCATACCTCATTTTTAATTAAATTGAATACATATATTTAACAAAATAATACATCCCTCTCATTCTAAAATAGGTTAAATTATTTATTTTTTTTATACGTTTTGAATAGCAAATTTCTTTTATTGAAGTAGAAGGATTTTCGGTTTCTACTACAGGTAGATTTGGAGGAGCAACTTCTGTTTAAAGGAATTGTGGTTTCTGAAGTGTCTTTACTATTGAGGTTAGGGTAGTAATATTTTATCATTAAGATTAGAGTCTATTTATAGTATGCATTCTTTCTTTTGATACTCTTTCTCTTTCCTGGATATTTAAACTTGGAATAGTCAAATCTGTATTTCAAATGGTTTATATGTCTTAGACATAAGGCTAAATTTGTTCCAGCTAAAAATGTAATTGGTCCTGTTCTTTTAATGATACCCAATCATTTTCTAAATATTTAGCAAATATTTTCTCTTTACATCTATAAAAAAACCTGGTAATTGAGGTATTCCAGGAGTGGATAAATGAGTTTTAGTAGTTGTCGTGAACCTACTGGTTGAAATTAAATAATTGAAAACGAAGATTGTATTGTTATTTGTTGAGCATTTGATGTGGCGATTAGGACAGCTTTCTCTCATTCATCAATTCCTTTTATAATTAATTCCAAAACTAATTTCTCTCATTATTATATTTTTTAAATCTATGATATTCAGTTATATCACCTATCACTTGTGATAATTTATAAAAAATAAATCTGTCCTAATATGTGGTTTATTTTCTTATAATAATAACTTTTTAAAAGTTTGATCAACTCATACAATATAACGTTTTTGGTGAGCTAAAGATAAATAGTCAGGAGCAGTGGTCACGACCCGATCCATATGGACCGGATAATGGTCCCCAAATAAATAGCCAGTCCAGATCGTGATCCTAAATAAAATGACCGATCTAGCCAGCCTTTTATTTTATTTTGTTAAATCAATTTTCATTTTTTCCTTTTAATTCTTGTTTATCATTTTATTAAATATAAAAGCATTCTATGTTAACAATATCAAGTCAAATCTAAATAATATATTAATTTAAAAGTAAAACATATTTTTGACAAACTTTTCGTTTTCTAGTATATAGCAAAATATAAATGAAGTAAAAAGAAAATAATCACAAAACATAAGGTTTTCTAGAAAAGTAATATAAAATAAAATATACACAAAAAATATATGAAGTGAATAGTTAAGCAAACTTCAATATTAATAAAAGGTCGGTCAAGACTGAAGAATAATCAAAACTGGTTTTGATGTGGTCCTCAAAAAATACTAATCTAGTCCTATCTGAAGACTAATATGGGTGATTCCATGGCAAATCGACTAGCGGATGACCATTTCAAAAATAAATGAAACTTATGTTAGTTATTTATGTTGTAAATGTTAATAAAATCAAAATTTTAGAGAGTTAGATCAACCAGATCCAAAGACATACGCCCTCAAAGTCGAAAATCACACAATATATGATTTCATTAAATCTTGTTTTTTTTAAAAAATACTTAAGATAGAGTAACAAATTATATATCATGGAAAATATTAAAAAATTCCAAGTGTTGTCTTTCCAGTTAAAATATAAAAATTAACAATGTTAAGAAAGGATTTTTTTGGGTGTTGATATTCTCTATATGGGTTTATTACCTATATATTAAACTATTTAATAAAAAATCTCGATAGCCATTTGTGTTTTATTTAATTTTGTTTAAATTTTTATTTTTTATAAATATAAAAATATAATATAGATGGCACTATATTAAAAATCATTATATTAATAAAAATATGTATTATATTGGTATTAAAATAAAAAAATCCATTAAATATAACCAATATGATATCCTGTGGGACAATGTTCAAGCAAACATCCCATACAGATATGATTATTATTAGGATGATATATTGTAAAATAAATATATTTTAAAATTTTATATACAAACTATTATAAAAAATATCTCTTATCTTTTTTGTATTCTATTTTGCGTTTATTAATAGAATTTATATCTGGATGGGTTGCCTGCCTATATATATTGTCCCAGGACATCATATTGGTTATAATAATTTCAATATAATACATTGGGTTGCTTATTACATATCACACCAGGACATCATATTGTATTGGTTATTCAATGGAATATTTTTATTTTAATACCAATATTGTTTTAACATTATCTATATTATTATATTTATATTTATAAAAATAATAACAATTTGTTTAATAAAATTAAAAAACAAAAATGGCTATCAAAATTTTTATTAAATAGTTTAACCCTTCAATACTCCGGTGAAAAAAATCACGTTTATACTTGGGTGGGGTTTAATAGACCCCAATTTCAAATGCATATATCTCCAGTTATATTCATTATTAAGATTTAATATTTGGATATACGATAGAACTAACCTTAAACCTGATAAAATAATTATTTATTTTTATTTCTTAAGTTTAAAAAAAAGATGATGAGGAGTAATATAATTTGTCCCAAAATTTTCTAAAAAAAGCCAACTTTTTTTAAATTTAAAATATCAAATTAAAAAATTAACTTATATATCATATAATCATGATAATTCATAACATGGATCTTTATTCTTCAATATAAAAAAAAATTACACTGATTCATTCAAACATAAAAAAAATACAGAACATTGAAATATGTTAATTTTGACATGTAAAACATTTATTACATAAAGCATTCATGTGTTCTAAACATAAATTTATTTTACATATTTGACAAAAATATTTTGTTTTTTTATCCCTTTTTCTAGGACAAACACTACACCTTCCTATTGAAGGCTTAATATTTATATTTGGTTCCTTGCCTAATATATTATAAATAGAATCTTTCAGGGGTCGTGGCAATCTAATACATTCTTTTCTTAATTCTAAATGTGGAGTAATAAATTCCATAGCTAATTTTTTTATGAAATTATTTCTACTAATTGATATTTTTGTATTTGCTGTGTATATTTAGAAGTGTATAAAAAATTGTTAAAGGCCAACGATAAGATTTTCTTGATATTAAAAAATTTGCAATCATTAGGTCAACCATATCGACCCTCCCCCCTTTAGTCATATTATAAAATGATATGATTTCAGGTTTGAAAAGGTTATTATCATCAACATTTTTATTATGATGCAATGTTGAAAGCATTATCACATTTTTCCTTTTTTGGGGGATATATGATAATAATGTGATGTCTTTGTGAAATCCAAATATACTATTATAAATTTCCTTTCCCTTTGTCATTATAAAATCATTAGGAATTTGTGGTTTATTTTGCCTTGATGTGTCCACTATTGTTAATTTGTGTGTATGCAATAAACTTAATGCAGTATCATAACTTGTAAACCAATTATCCATGGTTAAATTGCGACTTGAACCAGATATTGGAAGAATTAATCTATTTACCACATCTGCTGGTTTATTACTTATTTTATAAGGCCCCTCTTGTTGATTTCCAGTATATATTTCTAAATTAAGTGTATAGTAAGTTTTGAGATCCACCAAGGAATATAATTTTATGCCATATTTTGATGGCTTATTGGGCATGTATTGCCTAAATGGGCATTTACCATGAAATGCTGGAAATCTGCAAAAATCATTGTAATATTTTATAATAATTTGAAAAATGAGTCAATCAGCTGTTGAAAGAATAAAAAAATAACTCCACCAGAAAAAATGTTTATGTTTTCCTTTTCATATATCTCATTCAAAATAAAAGATATTTAAATTTTGTTTAGATAAATTTTATAATTTAGTAGTATATATTTATAATTATAAATATTTAAAAAATTTTTTTTTTAAAGTTACAAATTTACTCTGGTGGGGTCTCACACACCCCAATCAGTCACAAAATGCTTATATCTTAAAAACTACTCAACCTATATGCATGAAATTTGGAATATTGATTCTAAGATATATTTGATGAAGCTACTGAAAAATCCAGATAATAATATTTAACTGTTTTTATGCAATATCATTTCTAGCATTGGGGTTTCATATACCCCACCGGAGTATTGAAGGGTTAATATAAAGTTAATAAATATTTTTAGAGAATATCAACACCTAAGAAAAATCCCTGCTTAACAATGTTAATTTTGTATTCTTACGGGAAATAAGAAAACACTTGAAATTTTTTTAATTTATTTTTCAATGTTTTCCAATGTAAAATTTTAATGGCTATAAAATGATATGTAATTTGTTACTCTCTCTTGAGTATTTTTTAAAAAAAATAAAATTTAATGAAATCACGCATTGTGTGATTTTCAACTTTGAAGATGTATAGATTTGGATTTGGTTGAGCTAGCACTCTAAAATTTTGATTTTAATAAAATATATACCATAGATAATTATCTAGCCAAGTTTAGTTTTAGAGGTAGTCATTCAAAAATCTTGTTTTTTTTGGTTGATTTGATGTGGAATGACCCATATAGATTATTGACCTCTATTTTATTTCAATGTTTGATAATAGAAAAGTTTTTGATCTTCAATTTTATTAAAAGTAAAAAAATACCTTATCTAGGAATTATAGATGCTAATATCCATTTTATCATTATTTTCCCAGTTAAAATAAAATTATGCCATGCTCTTTTTCAATATATACACATAGATTTTTGATCACAACTAATAATACTAATACTTTGAAATACATTAATAAGATAACCTTATTTGTAATTAAACTGTATATTATATATACCATACAATATAATCATTATATAAGTTATAATCACTATTTTATATAAAAATATAAATATAGGGTTAACTTTAAACTGTTTCGTTTGGCTCACACCCTTTTATTTATCAGTAATTTTAAAATTACCCTACTCAATATGAATGGTCGAAGATAATTTCTCATGGAATTATTTTTAATATATTTTGATGAATCATCTTACATGATTTATATGGGTATCTAGCATAAAAAAATATATTTACTGTATAGGTGTATGATTTTACACCATTTCTGCAGTTACTTATATAAGCCTCTATTCTTAATAGTAACAACTATAATTTGTCATATATTCTGATTAAATTTTTATGATAAAAACTCCGTTATTTTTAAATCTTAATATAAAAAAGAGTAAAATTAAATTACTTTGACAATTTCACATATTGTCTTATTCGATTTATATTGTTTATATTTAACGGGTGAACATCAATGTTGTTTCTTCTAAATTATAAATAAATTAGAGCATTTATATATAATAAAACCTTTTATATATTAGGTAGAATAAAACTGGAATTAGGAATAGTAACAAGAAAATACCAAATAGAACTTCATTCCCAATCCCTTCGATCATTACTCGAATAAAACTAAAATATTAGAATTTAGTCAGACTGAGACATTAAAATAAAGTTTTGACAGATATAAATAATCGGTATATACACTAATCTTTATACAAAAAGAATTTGGATATTATTTATATGATAATAGATACTTAAATTATTTTTGTCATTTGAATTTCATATTAAATTTTCCAGCAAAGAAAAAGAACTTAATATAGTAAATATAACTAGTCCTAGTTTATATTTTATTAAAAAGTATTAAATTCTAGAATGAAAAAACAATAATTGTATGTATATATATATTATTTAAAAAAATAATAACCCAACTTAAGGAATCTGTAATTCAAGTGAATTAATCAATTGGATGAAATATAATTAGATTTAAGCAAGTAGGAATAAATTAGGATTAATAGAATTTTACTCGAGTCTGTGGCTGAGATGTCAAATAATTATTTAATTTGCCCTGAGAACTTATTGACATAAAATTTTTCAATTTTTTTAAATATATATATGTTACAATTACATATATGTCATTGATATGTTAGCGGGATTGCATTATTTTTTCAAATTTAAATCATTTTTGAGTGAATTTATTTTAATTAAAAAATTGGATTTTACAGCAAATGTATTCAATCATGTTTGGAATACCAAACCTTTGAATTTCAAACGATTTTGTCATGAACCTTTGAACTTATAATTTATATTCTTTTTCCTATATATTTTTTATATAAATTATGATTGAAAGGTTTCTGGCAAAATTGTCCACAATTCATTAGATAAGTATTGTAAGCATGTTGGATTCCATTTTAGGAATCAGATTTTTAAATTTAAGAAAACCCGCTTAAAAAATGATTTAAAGAAAAATAACACATTGACGGGTGATAATATATGCACACAAAAACATTTTGCTATTATCAAAATATAATCTTTTCACATTTATAGAAATTTATGTTTTTTGATATTTTGAATCCTTAACTCACAATCTAGGGCGTCGCCCTAGCCTAGCTTTCGGCCGGGGAAAGTGTAGCATGGGAATCACAAATGGCACGGAATAAGAGATATCCATAAATCACAAATAGTAGTGCGTAACAAATAGCAATGAATCACAAAATATGCGATATCAAAGTTTTATAAAAAATTAAAATACAATATAGGTATGGGGTAGAGTAGGTAAATTTAAAAAAGAATTTATGTATCGCCATAATATAAATTAGTGTATTATCAATGGCTTATTAATTGAGCAAGAACAATGATAAATAAAAATTATAGATATATTTACTAATAGAATTCAAAATAATAAGTATATTGCGAATAAAGACGAATATTGTTCAGGGAAACAATTCATTAGAATAAAATATTATTCAGAGAGATCAATTAGCAAACTTAAAAAATAAATAGGATCCATGTGAATAGATATAGAATAATATTAAAATTATATAAATATCATACTATGTATTGTTTTCTTGGAATATTACTAAATCCTATTTTAATAAGAAATTAGAAAACCCGGCTTCGTCTTTTTATTGAGTTATACATAAAAATTACCAGGAATAAAAAAGAAAGGAGTACTGTTAAAAAAGGTAGGATCCTTAAGAATAGATATATAATTTTAATTAAATAAAATATTTTAATTTATAAAATAAATGCAAAAGAAAAATTTAAAAAATATTAATGCATTAAACCTGCAGAGTCAATATTAGGTTCAACTCTCAAGAAATAATCAGCAGTAGCTAAAATAGATGAAATCGAAAATGTAAGAAAGTACATTCATTTTAAGTATATAAATATATATATATATATAACTTTATTTTGCATTGTCGGTAGATTTTATTGGGTTTCACGATATCTGGAACGTTTATTTTGTTAATTTCCTGCCATCCTTTTCTATTATTAATGACAGATAAATCAGCATCTATACAATCATCATTAAGAGAGGTTAAGACAGGGCTTGTTATTTTAAATAAAAGCAAGAAAAATTTACAGAATAATAATGAACTGAACCTCCAGAGCAGTCACCATTAGATGTGTCTTTCTAATTGATATCTAAAATACATGCATATAATTTGCTTCAATATAGTATAATTTACTTCAAATCTGCAAACTATAATTAATTCATGTGTGATTTATATTGTATTTTAATTTTTTATAAAACTTTGATATCTTATGCTTTGCGATTCATCAATATTTGTTACTCACCACTATTTGTGATTCATGGCTATATCTGATTCAGTGCCATTTATGATTCCCATGCTACACCTTCCAAGGCCGAAGCCTGGGTTAGGACTTCGCCCTTGTTTATTTTTATTTCTGATATCTATAATACATATAGATAATTTGCTTCACTATAATATACTTATCAGCACACCATAGGCGTAGGCGGGGAGGGGGGCAAGGGGAAATCCCACCACCTTTAAAAATTTATTACTTTTTGTGAATATCATTTTAAGCTAATGAAAAATATCCTCCTTAGTCCTCTCTCCACTCCCTGTACCCAAAAAATGTACCCATATATCTTAAACAATAATTTGAAAGAAAGAATGTAGAAGTTAATATTTTTTTAAACTAAAACTATTCATCATAATTCATATTTTATGGAAAAAATTATTTATATATAAAAAAAATGAAACCATAAATGTTTTTTAAGAAATGAAATATAATTAAAAGATAAAAGTTAATGAATAATAGATCCATAAAATTACTAATAATAAATCCATAAAATTACAAATAATATAATATATTAAATATAATTTTTTATAAAGTGAGTAACTTTAATTTATTTATTTTAATAAAAGTAAAATATAATTAAAAAACTAAAATTATAAATTATATTAAAAAAATTAATGCACAATACAAACAGTGGAATATTATATGTCGTAGATTTACAGTATATCAAATTTTATCAATTATCGCATGACAATCAAATAATTATTTACTAATAGTGATACGTGATATATAGCGCATCGCCCTCTAACGTTGAATACACAACAGAGCTACGCTAGGTTTTCCTCATTTCCATCTAATTGGAACAATTTAATTTGGGTATAAAAGTAAAAATATGAGGAGCCCTCCACACGTTTGTGGGCAAGTCGCACGTACTTGTAGGCACAACATTTCGAAAAATGTTGCTTAAACCTCTATAGGCTTTAATTTAAAAGGAGTGGGACAAAGAAAAAGCCTATACCCGAGAACTACAGTATAATTTAATTACTTTAAAGGTGGGTGATGGCTGATTTTAATCTTAATTTCTTTAGTGTAAGTTATAATTGCTATCAATATTGAGATATAATGTTCATAAAATCTGTAAATAAATATGATTAAAATAAAATAATATTTACCGTTCTATCACTGCATTTGATCAACATTCAAGCTACTGCATTTCAGAATTTAGCTTTTGTAACTGAAATTAATAAAAAGATTTGCTTTTATTCCACAATACTGTTCATAAATTTTTTAGAAACAGATGTTGAAGAATGGATATATAAATATGAGAAATTAAAATATCAGCTGATCTTCCCCCATAGATTTTTAAAAAATGTATGAGATTGCTAAAATTTTAAAAGGAAAAACTGATGTTTAATGTTTAAAATGATTAGAATGAAGACTCATTTTATTAAATTTTTTAATTTAAAATAAATAGATGGCGTTAAATAATTGAATGCAAATTGTGTATTTATTATTAAAAACATTGATTAGTAAAATTTATTAAATTATTAACTGTGATATATTTTATAACTGTCAAATATATCTGTAAAAGTGGAATTTACCTAATATTTTAAAATCAATTCTATATAATTAGGGAATTATATGTCTACTTCTTATAAAGAAATTTCTTATATTAGGAATAGATTATTACCATGCTTTTGTCTTAATGTGTATATAAGTATGTTATTATATTTTAGATTAATAAAAATATATTTCATATTTTTCCAGGCTCATTTTTCTATTAAAATTAACCTCTTATCTTATGAAAATATTTTATAACTATATATATAAGAAACCCGGCCAAATGCCAGGCAAAAGCGGTCCGAAGGCCCGCCCAAAATGGGATCTGGGGACTAATCTTCCCTTAGGAAAATCCTGCTACGCCTATGCTGCACTATTATTAAAATTCACGTGTGACCCATTAGCTCTAATTTTGCATGAATATTATATTTTACTTCAAATTTGCACAATATTGTAATTAAAATTATCCCATTAGAATTGAATTTACTTGAATACTGTTGAGTTCAATTTAGGATAGAATAATTTGAGGAAAATATTTATTTTTTGATATCTAAAATACATATATATAATTTGTTTTAATATAATATAATTTACTTCAAATCTGTACACTATAATTAAAATTTGATTTGACCCATTAGAATTGAATTTACTTGAATACTGTTGAGTTGAATTTAGAATAGAATGATTTGAAGAAAATTTATTTTTATTTTTTGATATCTGAAATACATATGTATAATATCCTTCAATATAATATAATTTACTTCAAATCTGCATACTGTTATTAAAGTTTCATGTGTGACCCATAGTTCTAATTTTAAGTGAATATTATATTTTATTTCCAACCTGCACAATATTGTAATTAATATTATGACCCATTCGAATTGAAATTACTTAAAGAAAATATTTATTTTTATTTAAAATTGATTAATATATAATAAAAAAATACGTAACGATGACATTACGTCACGAATGGCATAGAGAGGACATCGGAAAATTATAATATAGATAACAGAAAACTTATAAAAGAAATTTGCTAATGTTCTTTTGTAACGTTACTCCGTCGATCGACAAATGTTTCTTCGGCGCACATTTCAGTGTATGTGATATAATGGCAATACACTTGAAATTTTTTTAATGTTTCAATTATAATTTTTTTTTAGAACCATCATCATTTATTTATTAAACTTGCAAATAAAAATAAACTTTTATATTAAAAAGAAAAAATAATTTTTTTAACTGATATAAGCAATGAATATATATATAGAACTTATTTCAATAATGAAGCCCCTCTTGAATTTTCTGGTTCAGAGTTAGTTTCTGTAAAGAAAAATTTACTATCAGAGTTTTTCTTTCTAATAGCAGAAACATTTAATATAGATCAAAAATAAGTAGTTAAAATTTTAATTTTGTTTGTCCCAAAAATAAATTATGGCCGGGCAAATTTTACTAGAACCAGAATTCTTAAAAACTTCTATTAATATAAAAAAATCATTAGCATATTTTAAAATACACTATTTAAATGATTTTATTTATTAACTTTTCCTGATGGAGTAATAAATAATGACAGATCTAACCTTTTAACTAGAACCAGAGTTCTTAGAGAATTTATTTCTAATATCAAAAACTATTAACCCGGCTTAAAAATAGTAGTTAAATTTTATATTTTTTTAATGTGGAAGATAATGGTGAGACTTCTTACAATAAAATTGCCAGAAACACTAGACACAAAACAAAATATTAGTTACCTCGTGGAGCAAAATTTTATGGCAGGGTTAACTTCTACCATATTCAGTTGTTATTATAACTCCTTTATAATTGTGAATCATTTCACTCTATTTTAAAAGTACTTAAATTTTCCCCGAGAAAAAAAAATAATAGGGGGTGGAGTGGGAAGGGAAGTTTTTTTTACTAATCAGAGTTCTTATCTTATATAGGGTTTTTCATTCAAAAAAAGAAAGCTATCAATCATAGGCCCGATCAAAAAAGGAAAAGTGTCAAATAAGTAATCTTTTTTGTATTTTTAAAAAAATTTATTTCTCCTATCACTCTTCTTTACTTCTCTATTTATATATCAAATAATTCTTTTTCATTTTTTTCATCCTATATAACAATTCTTTTTCCTTTTTTTCATCCTAGATAACAATTCTTTTTCCTTTTTTTCATCCTAGATAACAATTCTTTTTCCTTTTTTACATCCTAGATAACAATTTTTTGACCTTTTGATTTTTTTCTCCTTACACTTTTATTTCTCTTGGGCAATCATTTTTTTTAATTAATATCTTACTACAATTGCTGAATCAAATTATGGTTTGTTTTTAATGTACCTTTTTTATATTAAATAAATTTGAACTATAATACCAAACGATATATAAATTTATAAAATAATATATATTCTTATTTTTGAAATTTTAATATAATTGTTATGTGAGATGAAAAAAATGATAGAGAAAAAAAATAATTTTAAGACAAAAAAGAATGATAAAAAATAAAAGAAAATCGAGAAGACAACGAAAATTAAGGATTAAAAGTGACTTAAAGATATTAGCAATTAGAAATAAAATAAGGAAAAATATAAAAATTTAACAAAAATTGACAAGAGTTTTAAAATATTTAAAATTATAAAAAAATTTCTTTTGATTGACACTTTTACTTTCCTATTTTAATCGGACTTTTTCATAAGCTTTTGATTCTTTTCCTTTTTTGATCGGACCTTTCTTTTTATGATTGATATTTTTCCTTTTTTGATCACAACTTTTACTTTTTTAGATGGGAAACCCTGTGTCTTTAACTTGTCTGAAAACAGAAAACTTATTCGCATTTTATAATTTGCTTTATCCTCATGGAGTTAAATATAATGGCTTTTTTAATAAAAAAAAATATTTTAACATAACTCAAAAAAAATTTCTTTTGGAGTAAACATTTGAGTCTACTAAAAAATTGATTAGTTGGCTGAAAACTTGATTAGGGTCGACTCAAAATTTGTCTCAAGTCGACTTAAATTTTTTGTGTTGGTTTAAGTTTAAATCATTTTTTATAATTTCCGCACTTGAGCCGCTAAAAGTCGGCTTTTCATCAACACTATATTGGATGTTGAATTAATGGTTAAGCAAAACTATAATCTAACTTGCCAACAATTTTATATATATACAGCCATTTTCCAAAATTAACACAGCTAAATATAATTATTATTACAATTGCTAACAAATATTTTTAATGTGGAGTATTGTACTAAATTGTGTAAGTAATATTTAAGCTATATTTTAGATATTATATATATTTAAACTATAATTTATCAAAAAATGAATAAACTTTTGGCAACATGGCATGATTATATTTATACAATATTCTCTACCATTAAATACAATTTTTTACAATAAATTCCAACATAACGTAGTTTGATTTTGTTGGTCATTCAAAATTTTTGACCTGGACCAGACTTGGATAGAACCCGACTGAAAGCTATGCAAAAGTAAGCCAAAAACGTAAAAGGGGAGGATGGTGATAGCTCCCATATGCACATAATAAATATTATTGAGGAATGGAGCATTTGTAATTAGGGACAAACAGGCTTACCTGTGAATTTGGATATGTCATATACCAAGTTTAATTAAAAATTTAAATTAGCATTATGGAAGTCAGATAGATTAACTCTTACTCACTAAATGTTAAATTATTGTGCCCAAATTAAATAATAATATAATTTAAAATTCTAATAGTTTATGCAATTATATAAATACAAAAATATTTATAATTTTTTTATAAATCCACTATTTAACAATCCATAATATTCATAATGAATAAGGCGCCTACACTCTGCGATAATTTTCGAAAGCTTTTCGATTATTTAATTTCAAAATAGGGCCCAACAAGTCTCCAGGCCCGCATTCATATGTAATGGGAAAATTCGTATTCTGTGGCCTTTCATACATAACATGAAGCGTTTGTTCCCATTTGACAGGCTTAACAAGTTGTTGACATAATAATTTTTTTATCTGGTCAGCACTTTTATAACGATGGCCGGTTACGTTTGAATATACGGGGATAAGAGGAATCTTGAAGATAATATTTTAAAAAAATTATTCAATTTTTTTTTGTAAATATATATTTCCTATTTAAATATATTTACACCAGAGAGCACCGATACCAATTATCATTACTAATGTTATTAGTGACCAATACTTTTTATTTTTTATATCATCAGGTTAGTTGAAAAACTTTTAGATGTAATCTATCAATAAAAAAAATTTCTTGCAAAATATTTTCAATTTTTGTAATTGTGGTATACCTAGACCTGTGCGCCGACGAAATATCGGCCGCCGGCGCAATTTTTATAAAATCTAAAACGGCCAGCGGCGCGCCGATTTTTAGCTGCCGTCAATAAAATCGGCGTAAATCGGCGCATATATAAATTTTTATAAGATAAATTTTTTTAATTGCTTATTAAAATTTAAAAAAAACAAATATATACACTATTCTACAGATATCTCGGCATATTTTTTAATATTCATTTAATAGAAAACTTATTATATCCAAAATCGATTTCGTAATTTAATTATCATGTATAAAAATTATTTTATTTACATTTTTGGGACATAATGATGATCTCCTTGAATTTAACGTCAATCCAGCGGTAGAGAAAACTCTTTCACTAGGTGTGCTAGTCGCCGGAATGCAAAGAATTTTTTTGGCGAGCCTGGAAAGATTGGGAAGTTCACTCATCTTTTCTCTCCAAAAATTAGGAACGTCCATATTTTGTGAATGTCGTTTTCCAAGAAAACTGTGGCATTCTTGTTCTAAGTCACCTAACTTGGAATCATAATTTATATTTGTTGAATGTTTATTTGCCAATTTTGTCAAATAACTTGAATATTCATCTTCATCCTCATTAGCTATATTTACTACCTGATTATCATCATTCTCTATAAGTTTAAGATGTTTTATTATAAATTCTGAAGCTGAGCAATTTTGCTCTATTAAATACTTTGACTCAATTGTCAATTTTTAAAATCTTGGATCTAACTAGATATCTTTAAATGAAAAATAAAAGAATATACTTATATAATATTACTTGCAGATTACAAACCGGAAATCGTAACGCAAGTTTTTTTAGCATATTTTCCTTAAGTGAAATAATTTCAGAACTATCACTATCATTTACTATTAAATGTGTTTCAATTTCATTTCTAAAAAGTAACGCCAAGTTTAAAGTAGGCCCTTTTAGTACTGGAAGATATTCGACAGTTTCTTTAAATTTTGAAAGAAATGCTAATAGTTCTTCTACCAGATCAGATTCATAATTTGATAATTTGAGAAAGTGCTTCCCAATTCTTTTCAAAACATTATTAATTAAATTCTTATTAAATCCAGATATGCTTTCTAGTATAATTAATATACTATGCCAACGTGTTGAGATATTTAATTTTAAGGTTTTCATATGCGTGGAATTATTGTTACTATTAACATTGGAATTGCCAATATGAAACCGGGTATGGATCAATGCTGTCAAGATCTAACATGTCTGATGTTAAATCTATTGTACTTAAACATTTTCTTTAATATTCCTAGAATTCAAATTCAACCTCTGCAGTTTTATATCTTAGAGCAGTAATAATTTCTCTAATTCTTTTGCAAAAAAATTCCAGACTATGGATTTATTATTATCCAGAGTTAGGATACTAAAATTATTTAAATTATAAAAATAGATGCATCCATTTTAAAAATATGTAAAATTATGGTAACTTTTGGAATTTTAGATTTTTGATTGATTGAATTCTATAATGACGTCAATATAATTAAGATTTTAAAATAGTAGAAAATAAAAATTCATCAAAATCCTGATTGATATTGAAAAATTATGATGTTGACCAATTATTAAAATAAAAAAGTAGATAGAAATTTCTGCGCCGGCGTGATTTTTTTGGCCGGCCGGCGCACAGGTCTAGGTATACCATTCGTTTTTTTTGGGCCATTTTATTTTATATTTAATAAATAAAATTTACCCTCTAATATTTTTCTGTTTATTAGACCTGAAATTTAATATTTTTCAAATGTTTTTATTACTTTTTAGTTCTCTTCTTGAAAAATGGCTTATCATATTTCAGTCTGGGTGGTGTCTTTCTAAAAAAAAGGGAAAAATTTTTAATTCATAATTGTCATATTATTATTATTTATTTTTAAAATTATTTTGTTTAATATTTATCAAATTTATAAATAGTCGCCTGATTTTATAATCACGTGTAAAACTCGCGATCTCCAAAAGTATAAAAGGGACTAGATTTTATAATTATGTTGACTTTTAGTTTTTAAAATATATTTAATCAATAAAATTTGAAGTTGAAAATTTATTAATTTTAGTTTTAAAGTTGTGTTGGGTAAATTGAGTGAGTTATAAAATGGCGTTGTCCTACTGATAAAGTTATTATAGTATATAATTTTCACAATAACGATTAGAGTTTTTTTATAGTATATAATTTTCACAATAACGATTAGAGTTTTTTTATAGTGTATAATTATCATAATAATTTTTATTTTATTTCATTATGGTGTCATTGCTACATTTAGTTTTAATTTTTTAAACAAAAATAAGTTTTTATTGAAAAAAATGAAAATGAATTAATATAAATATAATATGGTTAGGAATCGTGTTGTTAACTGCCTCAATTTGAGCCGATTTTTAAAAAAGGCTGATTCAATATTTTATTCAAAATTCTGCAAGCCTGAAGATTTCATTCATAGGTGGCATAAAGATTTGAACATCTATTAGCAAAATGTCAAAGCTTAGGCAATATTTTGTTGGCTAAAATATTGAGTTAGCTGTTTTTAATAATCAGCTAATTGAGCCATTTAACAACCCTAGTTAAAAATGTTTTTTCAGTGATTTTTTATATATAAGTATTAGTGCCAGGTATCGGGGAAAAAATGGAATCACAATGCGTAACTAATCCAGCTGCATCATCCTGGATATCACATTTTATCAATGTTTCCATTAAAGTGTTCTCTTTTAACTATCAATTTACATCTAATTTACTTATCTTTTTACAATTAGCCTAGTCTGGGCTACAATCATGAGGGAGTAGGATGTGATGGGATAATTGTATTTGAATCTTATAGGAGTAGGGGGTATTATGATTAGAGATCTGCAAAAGTAAAACCGGCCCGTATTTTTTTAAACAGAAATCGGGTTCGGGCTTGGCAGGGCATAATATATTTTTTTTAAATTTGAGCCGGGTCGGGTTGGGCTTTGGAATTATATTTTAATATATCGAAATTTATCAATTTTATGTTTAATTTTTAATGTAAAATAAAAATATTTGATTTTATATAGATACATAAAAATTAATTTCTATATTTAAATAAATTTGGGCAGGGCCGGTAAATTTTTTTAAAAAAATTTCGGGTTCGGGCCGGGACGGCAAAACTTTTTAAGAAATATTTCGGGTTATGGTCAGGCCGACAAAAATTTAAAAAAATTTTTTGGGCCGGGCTTGAAAAGCAGATCACTAATTTTGATATCGGATATTGGTTATCGCCACTTTCGGGGGTTATATTATTTTTTTTTATGATATTTTTTTATGTATTAATATATCAATTTTTTATTTAAGATATTTTTCTACAAATTTTTATAAGATATTTTAAAAAAGTTTTTTATACAAATTTTTATGATATTTTAAAAATGTTTTTTCTACAAAATTTTGTATTAGGGGGTAAAATATAGGAATTCTTAATTCCGCAGCTTTTATATATATTTTATTTAATTTTGTGTTAGGGGTAAAATAGACACCACCTTTGAAGTTGATTTTTTTAACCGTAGTGAAGGGTTAAATCGAAATATAGTATTAAAATTTATACACGAAATATAGTATTAAATAAGGCAATTTTATTCATTAAATTAAAATATATTATTGAAATTAATACAGTCATTTATAAAATGAATAAAAATATCAAAACGCAATCGATATTTTCTAAAATATCTATATTCTAGTAGATATTCATGAATGTTATCCCTATCCTTTTATAGTTAGCTTTTAGATCCCGCCAAAGCCTTTCGACTTCTTGGGTGCTGATTGATCTGTCATATGGATCAATAAAATTTTGCGAATGATTGATCCGATAGTGGAAATAATTGGTTTGTTCGAACCTATTATATCCAAGATAAATAGATTTAAATTTATTACCACTTTTGATTTATAGAAAAAATATTTACATACCCTAACCACGAGACAGTCATCATCGTCGAATCTGTATTACATTATCTTTAACCACAAGCAGTGTAATAACTTGATCCCTTGTTGTTGTAGCAGTTAGAAATATTTCATATGTCTCCCGACATATGCCACCAATAAATTCTCCTACCCCCCCCCCCCCCCATATATAATCGCTGCAGAATTAAGAATTCCTATATTTTACTCCTAATACAAAATTTGTAGAAAAAACTTTAAAATATCTTAAATAAAAATTTGTAGAAAAAACTTTTTAAAATATCTTAAATAAAAATTTGTAGAAAAAACTATTTTAAAATATCTTAAATAAAAATTAAATTTCTAGGCAAAATTCTCCGGTCCCACGTCAATTCGGCGCGGCGTCAATTCAGCGCGGAGACAACTCGGCGCAACGTCAATTCAGCGCAACGTCAATTCGGCGCGGCGTCAATTCGGCGCGTATCTAATACAGTTGCAATTTATTATAAATTTATTAGTATAAAAAAAAGGATGATTAAATAGAAATGATTTTGAATGTTGGTCATATTAATTATTTCTTCGTATTTTTTTTTACAAAAATCTCAATTTTATTTACTAAATGTGTAATATCAATAAAAAAAAATTAACAACCAATATTTATACCGATTTCCTTGCTGGACCAATTTACAACATTATAAGGTAGGGGATACTGGGGTTAGTCGGACCGATTTTTATAAAATTGGCTATAGCTCCTGGTTTTTTAGATAATATAAAAAAAATATATGATTAGATACTTAAAACTATACTCTATAAAGGTTCCTTATAAAAAATTTTAAGAATATAATCATTTTTTTTTGAATTTTACTTTTTGTAAAAGAACAATTTTGTCCAACAAGCCCCAATAGCGGGTAAATTAAGGCAAGTTATATATAAAAATTGAAACTTAATTTTGGTTAATTTAATAAACATTTTGTATTTTTTTCATTATTAACTGCCATAATTGACGTGTATGGTTTAGCAAGCCCTGCGAACTCTAAATTTCTGGATATAATAAATACTCATAAAACTTTCCCAAATTATAAAAACTTCATCAATATTTTATTTCTTAAATAAAATTTTTAATAATTATTTCAAAAGATTTTTTGTCTATAGACGTAAACTAGTAAAAACTATATTATGATAAAATTTTAACCTTCTGGTGTATTTAATTTTAAGATGAGATTAAGTGGTTTGCCAAGCCCCGGTCCCTAACCCCAGTCTCCCCTATTTTGATTAGTAGCCAATATTATATAAGCGAGATTTTGGGCTAATTGTAAGAAAAGTTTGGACTTCTATCTCTAATCTTACATGTTATTATGGCTAAAATCTTAATCAACCCAAATCGGACGTTTAACAACACTAATGTTGATCCAATAAAATTCAAATTAAGACTGATTCATTTTTTAGATTTATTAAAAATCCTTAAAATAATTCTATTAATCATTTTAAATATATATTATGTTTAACTAATTTTTTCTATTATAAAATAATCAAAAACGAATTAACACACAAAAGCAATTTCATGGCTGTTTATGATTGGTATTTAGGATTTATGCTAAGAAATCATAATATCTCCTTTATGTCCAAAATGTTTATTAAATTAACCTAAATTAAGTTTCAATTTTTATATATAATTTGCTTCAATTTATAAGTATTATGATATTTTTAACAATAAAACAATAAAATTATTCTATACGTATCATTATTATTAATAAATAAAAATGCATTTCAATTTATTATGGCTAAAAAAACCAATGATTTAGGAAGCCCCTTGAATTTGCCTCACCCCGCTATTGGGGCTTTTTGGATATTATTTTTACTTTTTCAAAAAGTAAAATTTAAAAAAAATGATTATATTCTTAAAATTTTTATAAGGTACCTTTATAGAGTATAGTTTTAGGAGGTATCTAATCATATATTATTTTTTATATTATCTAAAAAAATCAGGAACTAAATTTTGTAAAAATCGGTCCAACTAACCCCAGTCTCCCCTACCTTATAATGTGGTAAATTGGTCCAGCAAGGAAATCGGTATAAATATTGGTTGTTAATTTTTTTTTATTGATATTACATATTTAGTAAATAAAATTGAGATTTTTGTAAAAAAAAATACGAAGAAATAATTAATATGACCAACATTCAAAATCATTTCTATTTAATTATCCTTTTTTTATACTAATAAATTTATAATAAATTGCAACTGTATTAGATACGCGCCGAATTGACGTTGCGCCGAATTGTCGCCGCGCCGAGTTGTAGCCGCGCTGATTTGACGTTGCGCCGAGTTGTCGCCGCGCCGAGTTTTCTGCGCCGAATTGTCGTGCGCCAAATTTTCCGAGCCGAATTGACGTGATACCAAATTCTCCTACCCCCTCCCTCCAATTCCTATATTTTACCCCTAATACAAAATTTTGTACAAAAGGCTTTTTAAAATAAAAATTTGTAGAAAAACTTTTTTAAAACATCTTAAATAAAAAATTGATATATTAGATTTCAAAAAAAAATAACAAAAAAAATTATCATAAAAAAAATATAATAAGATACCCCCCCCCCCCCCCCGAAGGTGGCGATAACCCAAAAATTAAATATTGGAATCTTTATCAGAATTAGAGGTCTACAAAATATCCAATTGTGGTTATATTGTATTTTAAAGATGGGTTTAAAAATTTTTTAGGTTGGATGGGGTTTGCCTATTTAAAATTTAATCAGTGAAATCAATAAATCATGGTTTGATTGTATATTTCTTTAGAAAATTATAAATTATTTCTTATAAACTAAAAAATAAATAATTTTTGGTTAATTTTTTTTATATATTTCGATACTTAGATTGGGTTGGGATTTGGGAAATATTCAATGAATTTTATTTTGGGGTTAGGTTATGGTTAAATTTTTTTAGGTTAGGGGGTTAGAAAAATGCCTTTTTCTATGGGTTGAGCTACTAGTCTCTTGTATGTCACTGGTTAGAATACATAATCAGTTGAAAATCTTTAAAAAAAAGCATTTCTGAATTTTAGTTAAAAAATTTGCAAAATAAAAAATATTAGGAATTGTACAAAGGTCATTGTTATGTGTTTAATGAATACAATTTTGAATGGTTTGGTATTATTAAAATGCAAGTGATGTTGAGATAAAATGGTAACTTTAATATTTAAGGGGAAATTTTTTGGGAGTTTTTTTGGTCTAGAGTAGTGTTGTTAAACAGCTCATTTTGAGTCGATTTTTTAAAACAGCTAACTCAATATTTTAACCAGAAAAATATTACCTAAACCTCGAGATTTCCATAATATATGCCTAGACCTTTGTTACTTCCATGAGAAAAATCTTCAGACTTGCGTAATATTTTTCTGGATAAAATATTGAATTAGCTGCTTTTAAAAATCGACTCAAAACGAGGCGAACAATACTACTCTAGAGCCCTGGGCCAAGGTTTAAAGATAATATATGTTAAATATTAAAATAAAATTATTTAAGCATTATCACCTGAATATCAACTTGATTCAAAGCTACAGATAATATAGGCAAAATAGGACTCAGGATTTTAGAATTTAATGCAAAATTAATTGGTAATTTTTTACATTTAATTATGTCATAATTTTTGTGATTTATTTCAATGTATCTCAATGCCTATGGAAAGCTATTTTAGTATCAAAATATTATAATTACTTCATTATGACCTGATAAAATTTTACATTGCGGAAACAAATAATTTGCTATGGTACAAATAGGGTTTTCAATGCCCTTTCCTAAGCAATGTTCTTTAGATTCAATAATTGCCTGATTTAAACTATTATTTGCTTTTAATCATTAATCTAGTAGGATTTACTTAGATTTAGCACTTAACATTACTGTTAACATTCCACTTAATACTTTACTTGATAATTTTTCAATTTCTTCAGCTCTAATTTTGATCAGCTGTAAAGCATATTCAAAATTTAAGGCCCCACTAAAAACTAATGAGGCATATTCACCTAAATTAAGTCCAGTAGTTGCCACACAGTTATTTATAACCTATATATTTGGGATTAATATTAATTTTAGTTTATATAATACTTCAGAATTTTCAGCATTTAATATTTCAATTTCAGCTAAGGATATTAAAAACAAGGCACAGTGTAAATTCACTAAATTATCTGTATCTGATTGGTAATAATGTAAGCAAAAATTTTTAATATCAAAATTTAAAATCTCATTTGCTTGCTCAAACATGTTTTTAACATTTTGGATATCAAAATATTTATAAGAAATTTTAAGTTTTTGCTTTGCATAATCAGGAAACAAAATAATTGACGTTTGAATAGGGTCCACATTTGGTCTGAAAGCAAAAGAAGATTGATCACGATTTTTAGCTCTATTAATATATAAATCTTTAATATTTTTTTTATCTTCAATAATATCATCGTGTAAAATGTCTGGCACACTATTATTTAATAGATTGCTTAAATCGAAATTCTGCTTGGCACAAAATTTACGAAGAGGAAAAGCATTTAATAAGTTTATAACTTTATTTAAATTCATTAAAAATAGAATAAATATACTGAATCTTTCGAAAACCACATAATTGTAGTCCGGTCAAGTAATATTTGATTGATGTCAATTATCAAATGACTGTAAATTATTTATTCTGTAGAGTAAAATAAAATATGAATAAGTAAAGTAAAAACAGGCCTGATATTATAACTAGTTTAAATAACATGAAATGTACCTAAAAGTAATTATTCGTTATTCGATATTCATTGATTCGATTAGTATTTTATGAAAATATAAAAATATGTTACCCATCGAATAATATTTTTATTCGATCTAATTTTTCAAAATTATTTATAGTATTTTATATTGGAAATTATTAATATTCAAAATTATTCGTAAATATTAAAAAAAATAAATATATATTTGAAATTATTTTAAAATATTTAATATTATTCGCAAATAGTTATAAATACTTGAATTCGTATGGATTTGATACTTTCTTATAAAACCTTTTGTCTTTTACTATTTCAACATCTATAAATCCCTTTTTTAAATTTTAATAAACAATTCTTCATTTTTGAATATATTTTTAAAGAATTTATTTTAGAATCGAATCAAATTAAATCGAATCAAATTAAATCGAATCAAATTAAATCGAATCAAATTAAATCGAATCAAATTAAATCGAATCAAATTAAATCGAATATTTAATGAATCAGTTAAATCGAATAATCATTTTATTATTAATAAGAAATTTTTCTATCAAATGCAAATAAAATTGTTCTATTCGAACGAATACAAATTATACAATTACGATTCGAAAATGTGAATCCTTACTGTAAAACATATATATAATGTGGACTTCATGTAATTCTTTATTACAATCAAATAAACCATTTGTATAAAAAATATTAATCATATAACAACATCATAATAATACAATCAGAAACATCCAATATAAACCTCATCCAGGCGCGTACGCAGGAATTTGGTCTGGGGGGGGGATAATAAATTTTTTTAAGAAATAATATTTTTAATTAAAAATACTAAGCATAAATTTATTAGGATTAATAACTTTTCTAATACACAATTTTAAACTAATGTGAATTAAAAAAGTTATATATATAAACCGGCATTTAAATGTGAATCATAAAATATAAAGTGAATATAACCCACGATATGAATCACTTAAATGACCCAAAATTGAAATTTGAATTTTTTGAGCTTTTAAAATATATAAAGTATAAAAAATTTAAATGTTGTAAATTAATACACAAAAAGTTTCTTATGAATAATTGTATTTTGTAAGTTTTGAGCTAATTTTTCAATTATCAATCCTTGCTAGGCGTTAAATGTCTATGAATATTCAAAAGATCCAAATCATTCAATCTACTTTCAGATGTTGTATTTCATAGTATGTTTTTCACAGACTTGCAGGCCCGGCCCCCGAATTTTAATTTTTTTAAATATACCCGGGGCGGGCTCGTAATTTTTTTTTAAAAAAACACCCGGGCTGGGCCTGAAAATTTTTTAAGAAAAAATATCCGAGCCGAGTTGTATATTTTAAAACCAAATATTTGAAATCGCCATTATTAGCTATAAATATCAAAAATAAATATAATTTATTTTAAAAAATTTGGGCTGGGCTAGCCGGGCCGGGCCTGAAAATTTTTTTAAAAAAAACCCGGGCCGGAAAAAATTTTTAAAAAAAATCTGGGCCTGGTCCTGCAAATGGTACCTCTGCAAGGCTCTGTTATTCTTCTTAAAAAAGTGAATGTTCTCTCATTAGTTTACTAAAGAGCTGCTAATATATATATAACCATTTTAATAATTGGGAGTATAATCTAAAATGTGTTTGAAATAAAAAGCATCCATAGCATTTTTTGGGACTGTATCAACCATAGTTAATCTTTTAATCATAGTTATTCAGCTAATAAGGCATCATAAGATATTTTAACATCTTCATGATAAAAATATAACAAATATTTATATTTTTTTTCTATCACCATATGAAAAAGGTTGGGAGAGGGGACATTTGTTTTATAATACTCTTCTACTGATCCTATATTAATGTTTTGATGATGAGCTTGCTTGCTGCAAGTCGAGGGGGACAAATATTTAACACGTATAGCTCTGCTTTTGACTCAACAACAACATATAAAATATGAAATTCTTCAACAACACTAGCTCTATTTCCTTGAGTTCTAATAAAATGCTCTCCGCTATTCTCATCTTCTTAATCAAGTCAATGTTATGTTTTTGAAAAGTATTACATAAAATAGTTGTATAATTAAATAATACATTCTAATGAGAAAAAAAATTTGGAATAAGTATTGAATCCAATAATTTTCTTGCTTCTGAGGAAATATTTCTTTCAAACCATCATGTAATTTCAGTAATAGCATTAATAATCAGCTCTTCTAACTCCAAAATAGCTGTTACTGTGGCGGAGACTCGATCTCGTTGGACAAGCTTGCAATTTTTTTCTCCCTGTTGGACAAGGAGTTTCAGAGATAATTATTATTTTATTAGAAATTTAGATAAATATTACGCCACCAAAATTTGAAAATAATAGGTAAATTACGCCAAGGAAAACTTGAAATCGAAATTGATTGATAAAATAACTTAGTAGATGAATGTGATAAATAAATGTAATTAAATATATATATATGTATATATGAGATAAGAATAAATATTAACAAATATAAATTAATATTAACAATAATATTTTTGAAAAATATAATCCGGCATCTGCATTTTTTGGCTTTGGGGGGGGGGATTTGTCCCCCTGTCCCCCCCCCCCGCTGCGTACGCGCCTGACCTCATCCCTTTCCATGATCCCCGGCAATCATTCCCGAACTTTCCTCTATCTCCAAAACCATATGATGTGGATTCATTATTCTTGTCTGTCAATCCCTGGGTTCGGTAGCATATCACTGTACTTATGAATAATGCAAATATTGAATTTATTGCTATTTTTATATGCATAGCATTTTACCAAAAGGAAGCTCTGCTACAAATCAAATTATATAATTTTTTTTGTGAATTTAGCGCAACCAAATAGAGGGGGGGGGGGTTCTATTATAAACCTGCTATATTTTATAAATATTATTTTAAGTAGGCCACTAGATCCTTTTTAATCTAAAACAGAATACATCTTTAAAAAAAATATTTTAATAATACATTGCAATTGAATTTAAATTGAAAGCCATTATTTTTTGGTATTATTAAAAGCTGAATTAATTAAAATTAAATTCATATATATAGAATCATGATAATTTTTTATTGTTTATACATATTCTTCATTGCTGATCGCTTTTATTCGTAATATAAATAATTTTTTTTCTAAAAAAATATATTTAAATTTTGGCAAAAGCAATTTAATTATATGGTAGTGCAGAAAATTGCTTAGACTCTGCAGATAATCTATTCCTTACATTTAGCTCTTTGGTTGGATAAATATATATTCTTTCTATGTTGTCATTATAAACTGATATTGAAAAAAAGGAAGTATTTTTCCTATAATGAGCAATTCACTGTGTTGGCAGGAATTCGAATATCATTGAGATAACCCATTTATGCTGAAGGGAAATATTTTTATATTAAATGTTAAATAATTGAAAGTTAATTTGAATGATGAGATTTGGATATTCGAAAGTCTTTTCTAACAATAAATTTGGGAAGGTTTATTAAATTAAAATTTACATATTAAAATAAGTTAGTTTCTTATATTTTGTCTATATTATTATGCATATGCAGTAAATTATATGAAAATCTAATGAGGTATAAAAGATTTGGAATTTTTTGATTATAAATCCCTATTCATATTTTTATCTTTCAAATTGTTAGATTTTTCATGATTATATTTTATTCGTATTAATCTTTTTTTTATATAGCTTCTATTAACTAGTAATTTATTTCTAACTTAATTCTCAATAAATAAAAAAAATTGTTCAGATATAGTCTCATTTTAGCATATTTAACCAAATTGAGGCTGGTAAAACCCAGATTCACCTAGATGCATAGGATATGAATTTCTATTTTAATCTAAAATTCTAGAAAAAAATTAGAGATGTGAACCGTTCGACGAATACAGGGTCTACCGGATCAATTCAGAGTTAAAAATTAAAAAAAGAGTTCCTTTATTTCAATTACATATAATATTTGCCTAAGCTGACAATTTATTTATTAAAAATTCAGCTTGAAGCCTTATTGAATATAAATCTGCTAGTAACACGCCATTTTGGTTCTATATATATAAAAATCTATATATAAGCTCTGAATTTTTAAAAATGTTAATGTAAATTATTTATAGAGGAAAACAAAATGGCATGCCACCAGAGGGTTTGTATAGTAATACATCTAAATAAATGAATTGCCAGTCTAGGTAGTACATGCCATTCGCTTATTTTTCACTTCATTTTCTTATTTTTTTCTGGCAGACCTTTTGCAGACCGAATCCATTCAGAAAAAAAATATTGAGCAAAAACGTAATTATTACTGCCATTAATAAGTCGGCCCCACAATAAAGTAAGCCTTGAAAGTGTGAGGCAAAAATTAGTTTTTAAGCCATTAATAACATATATAGTATTTTGTAATTATATTGAATTCACACCAGAGTTATTAAAGTATATACTTAAATATGGTATCAATATCTCTATCTATATATCTTTACAAAAGGTGTGTATATATATATATATATCTATATATCTTTATAAAAAATATATATATGTATCTATGTACCAGTGACGAGGCGTCAAGTTTATTATTAGGGAAGCAATC